GGGAATAACGTCTGATCATTAGCAGGTAGGTCTAGGGATGTAAAATAGACATAAAGGGATGCAAGAACTCTCTGTTGACACTGGAGACCACAAAAATTAAGTACAATCTACTTCATTTATAGAGCCGATCAGTATATAATGGGTTACTTATGGCTTTACAGGTTGCAATGGGTCCCCTCACCAAGTTGTCTTAGTAACAGACAGAGCTTTACGTGTGTAGAATAAACTGATCACTAATCTCTAGGGATATGACTGCACGATGAACTAGAAACCATTGTCGGCGCAGAAGACTGACATTTCCTGTGTTAATTTGTTCATTCATTTCCATTTCTCTGGGGTGATTTGTTTTCTCTTCATATCCCAGCTAAGTAGCGGATGATATTAATTCTCAGGTAATGGCGAGCGTCACTGCTGTGACAGGTGTTACTAAGCAGAAAGCGCTAGACATCTCCTGGCACCTTGCAGTCACTAATTAATGTAATTATTGGGAGAAATGTAATTAACGCTGTCAGTTATTCCACACAATATTAGCAGCAACTTGACCTTTGACTACATACCCATGTAAATGTTATGCATAAACAGTAACCTGGGGAAAAGATAAAGGGGAAGCTGCACTACCGAATCGATAACTACAGGTTCTCTTTATACTGGTTTACAGAGGTTGTGTAGAAAACTATAATGTAACTTTGAAGAATCTGCAAGGTCTAAACCCTAAATCCCAGCTGAAATATATTTTTCTTTTTCATTCACTGAGGGACAGACGGAGTTCTAAACCAGGTTATAATTCTGCCTTCAGGAGAGTTGGACACTGGCAAATGAAAAACTGTTAGCCGGCCAAGGCTGAAACCCCTCCTGCTACCAGCATGCTTTTGTTTTTTGCTAGTGTGCTAGAAGTATGGATGTCTTTTTCAACTCTGTTTTTTGCAAGACTAACCTGTCATTTTTCTAGCAACTCAAATTCTTCTTCAATCAAGAGTTTTCTCTACACTGATGCTTATGTTCTTCACAGCTATCTGATTCGGTTGTCCTTAGTCCGGCTAGTCCGGACATTCCTGCATCCAGACCCCACTGGATGTTACAGAGGAGGCCCGAAAGTGACCCTCACTAATGGGATCTGCTTTGGTGCTGTCTATTCTGGTTCTGGTTAAATTTGCTACAGAGCATTTTTCAGGTCCATAGCGACTGGCATTGCCTCTGCTCTTGCCCTCTAGTAAGCCATTTATGTCGAGCAGTGGGAGTTCCCTTATTTTTTATTTTAGCTGAGCACCATTGCTCCCCATTTCCCATCAGCGTTGCCATGGAGGTGGTTAAAACTGTGGGACTAAGTGCTGAGGTTATTTCTCTGGGTGGAGTGCATTCCACGCTCTCTTTCCTGCTATTCAGCAATGAGGAGTCTGCTGCAAAGAATAATGTGGAATTTCAATCTTCAGTTTGTGCATGCTGCCCTCCAACATTGACTTTGGTCACCTTCAGCCGCCTGACTCTTGGGTTGTTAAATCTCACCTAGTAGCATTTATCCAGGTTTTGTGACTACTTGAGGCATTGCCTCTAATCATTACCACACTGTGGCTGCAGCATGTCTGATTCCCAACACTGGGTGCCCTGTGCAACTCTCCACTAATGCATAGGGGACAGCTTGCAAATATCCCTAAGATCAGGAATAGAAATTGGAAATGTTTGTGGTGACATCATTAGGCAGGAATATTGCTACCTTCTGGTTTTAGATTTTCTACCCTTATTGGCTTCCTTTTTGGCTCTGATGGGAGTTGGTTTGTGGAGCGCCCTGGCAAGAAGCAGTTAATTTGAATGGCCTTTGAGGAACTTCTCTTTGGATTGGCCCTTAAAGCTATTATCAAGCATGCTTCTGGGGGCAAAATATCTCCTCTATGTCTGCCAGGAAGGAGGGGGATCCTAGCCACTTTCCATTGGAGATAGAGGGGCAGACTTTACCTGGTGTGAGTCTAAGGGATTTCATTCCAGGTGTTTTTTATAAGAACTAATCTCTTTTTTTGAAGTTGGGCTTTGACCAAAACCTAGCTCTTGGTACCATCAAGGGTCAGGTCTCTGCCCTTCTAATCTATTTCAGTGACCATTGACTTTCCACTCTTTAAATATAAACTTGTAGGATGTCTCATATTTGGTCTCACCAGTCCAATCACCTTTGACTTTGTACAACCACTGTCCTACAGCATTTGCAGCAGAAAACAATAAATACACATTTTTTTACCTGCAAAAAATTGTGCATTTATTATCAAAAGGTGAACTTGTCCTTTAACTAGAGGAATGTTCTTCCATCCCTTAGTTTGGGTTCAGGTCACCACAAGAATGTTTTCCTTCATTGTTTTGATGTTGTTCTTGCTGTGTGAGTCTATCCTTCAGTGTTAATTTTGACATAATTTTGATTTAGTTTTAGTCATAGTCTTTTGACTAAAATGCCATTTTAGTTTTAGTAGCATTTTAGTCATCTGAATTGTTTTAGTTTTAGTTGTATCTTAGTCGACTAAAATCTAATGGGTTTAGTTAAACTGTAATGCATTTCTCTAGAATTTCCAAACTCATGATATTCTCCTGGAGTAAAAAATATAAAAAAATGTTATTTATGGTATTAAAGTTTGACCATGCACTACAGACACATATTTAGGCGTTGTGGTACTGTCATGGCCAAAAATATTGACACCCCTGCATTTCTGTCAGCTAATGCACCACTTTGCCCAGAAAATTGTTACAAATATTTAAGCATTCACATGTTTATTTCTTTTGTTTGTATTGGTATGACACAAAAAAGTGGAGAAACAAAAGCCAAAAAGACAGAAATGCAGGGGTGCCAATATTTTTGGCCATGACTGTATATAACCAGTGTTCATTTTTACATCAAATTTCAATATGGTTTAGTCTCAGTCTTTTGACTAAAATGCCATTTTAGTTTTAGTCGTATTTTAGTCATCTGAATTGTTTTAGTTGTAATTTAGTCGACTAAAATAGTGGTAATTTAGTTGACGAAGATATTTTCGTCAACAAAATGAACACTTCTGTCTTTCAGCCACTGCTTCCTGCAGGAAAGCTGGTTGCTTTTTTTGTCATACCTGCTTTTGGATTTCCAAGAAGTTTAAGGCTTGGGTGCACACGGGCTGGATGTCAGCCCCCTGACAGAACGCAAAGACACAGTGGGGGGAGATAGCCACACTAACATTGTATGTGCTAGTATGGCAAACTGTCAAGTTTTTTTTTTTCGTTCAGCCACCTGGGTTGAACAGAAAAGAACTTTATGTGTGTACCAGGTCTAAGAATTTCTTTGTCCTAAAATGGTTGAACAAAATAGTATGTTTATACTTACCAAAAAATCATTTTGTTGGAGTTTGTTGAGGGACACAGGTCCCTCCCCTCTGTGTTTATTGTCATGCTTTTGATACTGCTTTGATGCAAAACTGAGGCATGCTAGTAATAGAAGGGGTTATACCCTGGACCGTCCTACATTTTTTTTCTCTATTATTTAGGGCCTCTTCCCTCTTCACCCATCTCTCTGAGTTAGTCTCATCTTATTCCTACATTTCAGCTTCTGTCTGCACTTGCGTTTGAGTTAGGCTCTTCAGTCTTGTCTCTTACCCCTGATCTGATCTTTATTGACTTTGGCTTCTGATCCCAATCTGGCCTGCATTAGTCTTAGGTTCTGATCCTGTCTGTATGTGTATATTTTGTTGCTACTGATTATATCTGTCTGTTTCTAACTGCTGTTCATGCCATTATGTCTGTGATTGTCCATCTAGACATTTCAGTGGAGCATAATCTGAGAGTTGTGCTGCCTTTCAAGACCATAGCTTCGAAAGTGTAGCATAGAATGACCAATAACAAAGAAGTTTACTTAAATTTGCATGTCACACAGAACCAGTGCTGTCATATGAGGGCATGGGACACTTCTAAGCCCTAGATAATTGCCAACCAGAGCAACATGGACCTTAAGCTGGCCATACACTACTAGATTCCTTTTTCTGTATAATGTGTCTTTATTAAAGATTTTCATAATAAAGGATAAAACAATTCTGAAGACAAAAACTTATAGTAACACAGAGAAGAGATATCAGTTTTAAGAAAGCAGGACCCACAACAGGCCCTGCATACAGTAATGTAATACAAATGCAGATCAAGCATACGGTACAATACAAATATCATGCCACGTACCCCCCGCCCACCATCAGGGCACCAAGAACCAGCACAAGATTCATCACCAAGGGACCCAGATGCCACCCAGGAGCTACGTCTCTGCACGAGGCCATCCAGTCTCAGGGCGTTAGATCAGACGTACCCCCCGTTACATTCCACGTTTCAAACTTAAGGCAGTAGAGGTGACAATAAATAGCACATAGGGCACTTGCATAAAAACCAAGCACTCATATGTGAGATGGCAAAGAAATGGAAATACAAGACAAGGAAAGAAAAGACGAAAAGAAGAGCAGAGGCCTTGTAGGGCCAATGGAAAAAGGATAACACAGGTCTGAGGGCTCGACGCTCAGGACGAAACAGGAGAGGGGTAAATCAGGCGATAGAACCTGGAATAAACCCACCGCACGTTATTCCAGCGGCAGAATCAACGGGCCCAGACTTACAGAGTAGAACCAGCTGAGGGGAAGATCTAGGGGCCAAAGCGAGAGACAATACTAGATTTCTAGGAGGAGGAGCCTGGACGTCGAGACGCTACGCCGCCGGAGCCACGTGGAGGCCCGGTGGCCATTATTCAGAGTGTCAGGGTTAGTTTGTCTTGCTGACACATCTTTATGATACCTGCCTACTTTGAATTGGATATTATTATTTTAATAAAGCTGCTTTTTATAACCTACTACACTATGGGTGTCCTTCCCTAAAACTCCCCTGAGGAGCTTTTGCTTGCAGAATCTTGATCTTGGAATCCTACACCTAATCGGGAAAAGGAGGATCTGTTGCTGCATCCACAGAGGAGGGATCCACCATTCCTGTAACCGGACCAGCTTTACCCCCCTCTGGATTGAGGATCCATGAGCTCTAGATGCACACTGCGTTTATGTGCCTTACTTCTGGTGAGTGCGTTTTTCAGCCGTTTCCACACGGATCACCAATTCTGAATCCTCATTTGTCACTGGACACGTCCATATGACCAAGACTTTCAGTGGACTTTTATCTGTCTTATTATCACTACTTTTAGCGCTGCACTAATTTTATGTTAATACTAGATTTCTGAATGAACGTTCATATGAACATTCATTCAAAAATTCTAACAGTTCATGCAATAACTTGAAAGTACTTCAAATTTTAATTTACCTAACATTCAGTTTTGAAATGAATGGACTTTCCTGAACAAAAATTACATGTGCTGTTAGAAACTTGTTTGTTAAAGAAACAGCTTCCATCCCACGTCCATCCTCACTAGCTAATCTTGTTCTGTTTATGGTCATGTCTAATAGATTGAGAACCATACAATGCAAATCAGCTATATTTCTCTCTGTAGCTTGACATCATTTTAATAGTTTTTGTGACTGCTCCTCACTGTACATGGATTTTACATCAGAGGCCTAGTATTTCCATGTGTCATCACACCTACCTGAACCATCCACCAACAGTCATCTGGCCTGGTACACTCACAGAACAATATAAGTAGATTTCCAAATGAACGTTCAAACCAAAATTCTCATCAGTACATTTCATGGCTTGACAAATGTCATTTAAAAGTACTTCAAATTTTCATTTGCTTTTAATATTCAATTTTGGAATTAATGTAATCTGCCAAATGAAAAACCACATTCAATGTTAGAAATTTGTTTGCTCGCAAAATAATTGCCATCCTGCTCTTTTGAATGTTCTTGTCCCTGTTGTTGAAAACTAAAGATGATTTGACACTGCTAATGATTCAAAAACTGAATTTGAACGATCGTTCCTGAAGCAAAAGTTTTTAAATATAATTCTTCTAGTGGATGACCAGCTTTACACTTGCTTCACCGTGTGAAATAAAGCATTTGACAGTCATATAATAAGGTTATTTGCTGGCTATGAGAATACTTTGCATAATGTCAAAAGATTTTTTTGCAATCAAATGCCACATTGCATCAGAAAACATGTTTTTTTATTTAGGAAACAAATCCTACATATTGAGGTTTAGGATGGAGGTGTCTGTGTTGTCTATAGGCTCATATCGGATTAGACACTAGACTTTAAAATGCAAACTGTCCTTTATAAAGAAATGCAATTATATTAACTGCTTTTCTGCTGAATTCTGTATTTTATTGTTCCTTAGCATGCTGTTCCGTGCCGAGGCTACATTAGTAAATGTCCCAGGGCAGAACAGTTGTGTGAATGTGACAGCTGCCCTTTCAGATACAGTGATTGGGAACCAAACAGCATGGTTCTCAATCCTGTGATTTTGTTTGCAATTTTCTTCATATTTGTTAGCATATATTAAAAAATCTGAGAAGTATGTTTATTAAAACACTATACCAAATTAAATCCTTGTATTTCATTAAAACAATGTAAAAATTATTTAGAGCAAAAAAAACATGTGAGTTGACTGTAAACAGGCCTTCGTATACCATTTGTTTCTGCATTTCTGCTTGCAGAGCAAATCTGTGGTTGTATGTTGTGCATTCCGGGGGTTTGTTCCCAGCAAGTTGAAGCTTGGTAGGTTTTGTGGATGAGACTAGGTAAATGAAATCTACTTTGCCTTGGTGGTCTTTGGTATAACAGGGTCAAAGAACTAGCACTTACTTGGAACTTATGGTTCAATGTAATTAGTCTTCTAGTGTCAGGTCCATGTATTGGAGAGATACGATTTTTTTTTTTTTTTTTTTGCCCTGGTATATATTTTAAAGCAAACCCAGGCCAAAGACATCACAGTAATAGCATCCCCACCAGCAACACTTGCTTAAATTTTCTTTATTCTGCTGCCAATTTGTTACAGCAGAGAGTGAAGCATGTGGTTCACAGCCCTCTCACCTACAAGCCCCAGAACTTTGCGATTGGCTGATTAGGCACCCAGTGTGTTAACATGGGGTGGGAAGAGAGTCCTCAGTCCTTAGTAAGCTCCAATTCATAGATTATTTTCTTTTTCACAGTACAAACATTACTGAGAGTATTGAAAAGCCAAAAGTTCTGGAGCTAGGGGGCCAGTCCTGTGGATATTTCAAAGACCAACTAACTTACAGATGCACAGACTAAAGCCCAAATTTTACATTCATACTGTAAACATATGTATTGTTCATGAAGGGCTTGAAACGCCACTCCAAGCAGAGGCTGAAATATTTCCTACCGGTGTCCAGAAAAGGGAACAGGTATCAGATTCACTATTCCAAATGTGCAGACATGTAGGGTGTAGGACGCAGCTCAACATAGTCAGCTGCTAATACAATGGATTGGAGTGTGTGGCCTCAGCCATCCTCAGTGGGACATGGCTGGAGCAGTGCTGGCTGAGGCCACACATTTCCATCCATTGTGGGCTCGATTGAATGACATCCTGTACCCTACATATGTGTTATCCAGTTGTATCTAAAACCTTTTCTAAAATGAGCTACATACCCATCAAGGTATCTCACCTACTTTATTTATGTGTACTTATTATAATCATCCATTCTTTGTTTTGGATCTTTGTTAGAAAAAAAACCTTTAATAAATAAATTATGAAAGTTTCTACATATACATATGTATATAGATATATACAGTTGCAAGAAAAAGTATGTGAACCCCTTGGGATTACGTGGAGTTTTGCATGAATTGGGCATAAAATGTGCTCTGAACGTCATCTAAGTCACAACAGTAGAAGAACACAGTCTGCTGAACATAATACTACACAAACATTAGATGTTGCCATGGTTTAATTGCACATAACATGTAAACATTCACAGTGCAGGGAGGAAAAAGTATGTGAACCTTTGGACTTAATAACTGGTTGACCCTCCTTTGGCAGCAATAACCTCAACCAAACATTTCCTGTAGTTGCAGATCAGACCTACACAACGATCTGGAGTAATTTTGGACCACTCCTCTTCACAAAACTGTTTCAGTGTAGCAATATTCTTGGGATGTCTGGTGTGAATCACTCTCTTAAGGTCATGCCACAGCATTTCAATCGGGTTGAGGTCAGGACTCTGACTGGGCCACTCCAGAAGGCGTATTCTGTGGTGTTGCAGCCATTGTTTTGTTGAATTACTTGTATGCTTTGGGTCATTGTCCTGTTGCATCACCCATCCTCTGCGGAGCTTCAGTTGGCGGACAGATGGTCGTACGTTTTCCTGCAAAATGTCTTGATAAACTCTGGAATTCATTTTCCCATCATTGACAACAATCCGTCCAGACATAGTGTTGTGTGTTCTTCCCAAGCAACTCAATCTTGGTTTCATCTGTCCACAGTATATTTTGGCAGTAGTGTTGTGGAACATCCAGGTGCTCTTTTGCAAACTTCAAACGTGCTGCAATATTCTTTTTGGACAGCAATGGCTTCCTCCGTGGTGTCCTCCCATGTACTCCATTCTTGTTTAATGTTTTCCTTATTGTAGATGTGTCAACAAAAATGTTAGCATGTGCCATAGATTTCTGTAGGTCTTTAGCTGACACTCTGGGATTCTTCTTTACCTCATGCAGCATTCTGTGCTGTGCTCTTGCAGTCATTTTTACAGGACGACCATGCCTAGGGAGAGTAGCAACAGTGCTAAACTTTCTCCATTTGTAGACAGTCTGTCTTACCGTGGACACATGAACATCAAGGCTTTTGGAGATACTTTTGTAACCCTTTCCAGCTTCATGCAAGTCAAGAATTCTTGATCGTAGGTCTTCTGAGAGCTCTTTTCTGCGAGGCATGGTTCACATCAGACAGTGCTTCTTGAAACCAGTAAACCCAAAACAGGTGTGTGTTTTTTAAGGGCTGGACAGCTGTCAGCAACACATCCAATATCATCACACTGATTGGAGTCAAGGTTGGCTCACTCCTGGCTCCAATTAGCTCTGGGAGAAGTCATTAAGCTAGGGCCTCACATACTTTTTCCTCCCTGCACTGTGAATGTTTACATGTTATGTACAATTAAACCATGGCAACATCTAATGTTTGTGTAGTATTATGTTCAGCAGACTGTGTTCTTCTATTGTTGTGACTTAGATGACGTTCAAAGCACATTTTATGCCCAATTCATGCAAAACTCCACGTAATCCCAAGGGGTTCACATACTTTTTCTTGCAACTGTACATATACACTATAATGCCAAAAGTATTGGGACACTCCTCCAAATCATTGGATTCAGATGTTCCAATCACCTCCATGGCCACATGTGTATAAAATCAAGCACTTAGGCATGCAGACTGCTTCCACAAGCATTTATGAAAGAATGAATCGCTCTCATGAGCTCAGTGAATTCAAGAGTGGTCCCATGATAGACTGCCACCTGTGAAATAAGTCCATCCATGAAATTTCCTTGCTACTAAATATTCCACGGTCCACTGTTAGTGGTATTGTAACAAATTGGAAGCACCTGGGAACAACAGCATCTCAGCCACCAAGTGGTAAGCCATGTAAAATGACAGAGCGGGGTCAGCGCATGCTGAAGTGCACAGCGTGCAGAAGTTGCCAACTGGCTGCAGAGTCAATAGCAAACTTTGTGTGGCCTTCAGATTAGCACAACAACAGTGCATGGAGAGCTTTATGGAATGGGTTTCCATGGCTAAACAGCTGCATCCAAGCCATTCTCATTGGCCATGGAAACCCATTCCATAAAGCTCTCTACGCACTGTTGTTGTGCTAATCTGAAGGCCACATGAAGTTTGGAGGTCTTTAGCTTTTGACTCTGCAGCCAGTTGGCAACTTCTGCACACTGTGTAATGTAAGACATCGGATGCAGTGCTTTAAAGCACACTACCACTGGACTCTAGAGGAGTGGAGACGTGTTCTCTGGAGTGAGGAATCACACTTCTCTGTCTGGCAATCTGCTGGATATGTCTGGGTTTGGTGGTTACCAGGAGAACTGTACTTGCCTGACTGCATTGCGCCAAGTGTAAAGTTTGGTGGAGGGGGGATTATGGTGTGGGGTCGTTTTTCAGTGGTTGG